CCCCTCACCCGGCTCCGCGTCAGGGGAGCGGGGGGGGGGGGGGGGGATAAGCCTGATCCTGCAGCACCAGCATGCTTCACCCAGACAGTCACTTCTGCACACGCTCCAGGTGGAAGCAGCGCTGGGCTCGACCCTGTCACTGCGGCGCGCCTGAGTGGCCTGCCCCACGACCGCTCCATGCTTCCTCCCCTCCCACCCCAGCCCCTATCCCCGCACGCCCAGGGGCCGACCCCGCACAGCCACGCCGGGTGGGCTGCCCGGCTCCTTCCGTCCTCCTCCTCCTCTCACCAGCTTGAGGTCGAGCACGCCGTCCTTGGCCTCCTGCAGCAGCGACACGAACTTGGTGGTGAGGAGCCCCAGGCTCTTCTCGTGCCGGCTGGGGCCGCCCCCCGGCGGCTGCGGCCCGGACTCCGCCATCCGACCGCCTCAGCGTCGAGGCCTCCGGTGCGGCCCCCGCGCGCTGAACCCTCCGCTGCTTCCGGCCGCCGCGGGGCACGACGGGAGGAGGGGGGAGGGATCCATATTGGGGAGGAGGGGGCGGGGCCTCACGCGCTTTCTTCTTCCCACTCCCTTTTTTTAAATAAGCCCCGCCCCCTAAACCGGCTTCTCCAGGGAAAGCTCTCATCCTGGCAGCGACCCCTGCTGGCCAAAGGGATGCTCCGCTCCTCTGAGAAGACACCGAGCAAGCCTATTGGAGACCAACGAGGACGCGGATGCCAATAGGGTTGATCGGACTCCGGCCTAGACCTACCTCCCAGGGTTGTTGTGAGGATAAAATAGAAAATATGAGAATGTTGTATGCCACTTTGGGTCGCCCCGTTGAGGGAGAAAAGTGGTAAATAAATGAAATAAGGAAATAAATATTGTACAGGTGGGCTAGGGTTGCCACCTAGCTAGAAAAGCACAGGCCAGGAATTGCTCCTGTGCCTTTAACAGCCACTTGGTGTGCAAGGATCAGCCCCTAAAGCTTTTCAAGTTAGTGCATGAGGAAAACACAAACTATAGAGAATGTTAACCTGTAGAGCCTTGGGAACTTGCTCCCCCATGGACTCCCTTAATTGCTTGTTTGTCCTCACCAGTAACATGCAAGATAGATCATCAGTATTCGTACTTTGCTAATGTGAAATTTCATTAGATTGCACATGAAATTTCACATTAGCAAAGTAACAATACTGAGCTATCTTGCATGCTCGCGGTAAGGACAAAAACCAACCAAAGTGTATAAAGCACCCTGTGCACAAAAGGTGCTGCTTCGTCTGAGACTCAGAAGGGCTCCAAAAGCCATCTAGTCCAACCCCCATGCTGCACGCACGCAGGCAATCCAAAACTGGAGCATTTCTGAGCGTTTTGTTGGTTTGTGTTTTTTTGCTTGCTGAGTTGTGAGCCGCCTGAAGCAGTTTCTGGAGACTCAGCATATGCAGTTCCTAAATAAATAAATTGTTTCCCCAAAGAGCTTTCTAAACTACAGTGATCTATTACAGAAACACAAGGCAATGGCACTCGTGAAGCCACCACACGTTATGCTGCCTGCTTGGATGCATGTCACCTGACCTGGTCATCTAATGTCTTCACATTCTCCCCCTTCTCTTAGTCCTACCATGGGGATAGAGCAAGATGGGTAGCCATCCGTAGCTGTAGAAAAGAGCAAGAGTCCAGTAGCGCCTTCAAGACTCACAAAATTTGTGGCAGGGTAGGAGCTTTCGTGAGTCACTGCTCACTTCTTTACCCATGGCTTCAGTTATCATTGCCCCCAGGCACAAACTGCTTCCTGCTGATATGAGAACCATAGAATTGCCACTGGTTGGGAACTGATTATCTTACTAGACAGCAGCAGCTCCAAAGAAAAGCCTCTCTTAGCATCGAGGTCTCAGATGGTAAACTCTTTGTAGGATGTTGCAATGAAGGGTGAGATAGTAGATTTCTATAACTGGGAGCCCTGACCTCGATAGCCCAGGCTAGCCCGATCTCATCAGATCTCGGAAGCAAAGCAGGGTCGGCCTTGGCTAGTATTTAGAAGGGAGACCTCCAAGGAATACCAGGGTCGTGTGACATACAGGCAATGGCAAACCACCTCTGAAATGTCTCTTGACTTAAAAACAAGTCTAGGTCGTCACCTAGTGGTGCATAACACTAAAAGAGCGAGAACTTGTACTTGCCAGACAATCTTAGGATCTCCTGGCTATACTACACACAGGGGTCATTTCGTAGAAAAAGAGGTGCAGGAGCTCATTAGCATAACTCGTTAGCATAACTTATTTGCATATGCCACGCCCCCTGACATCACCGGAAGTGTGTCAGAAGGCAACACCCACCGCTCAGGCTTCACTGGACTGTTTTGGATTGCTAGCTATTGGGGGAGGGGACGTGCAGATCTGTCCTCGCAGAGGAGGGAGAGCTTGTACCTGAAGGTGGGCGGAGGGGGGGCTCTGCAACTTACCTGGCTGCTTCTTGCTCTGACTGAGGGCTGCTGGGCGCAGGAGGTGGGGCTTGTTGCATGTGCCCGCCCCCTGGGCTCCTTACTGCCGGAGCTCCACTCCTGTGCGCTCCTGCAGGAAATGACCCCTGACTACACACAATGCCATACAAAGATGATGATGATGATGATGATCTATAACTGGGTTGCACTGACCTGGATAGCTCAGACTAGCTCAATTTCATCATAGCTTGGAAGCTACACAGGGTCAGCCCCGGTTAGTACTTGGTCGGGAGACCACCAAAGGAAGTTCTGGTTTTGCTATGTAGCAGCAGGCCATGGCAAACCACCTCTGAACATCTCTTGCCCTGAAAACCCTACAGGATTGCCATAAGTAGGCTGCAACTTGACAGCAAGGGGGGAAACTGATTAACCCATACATGTTATTTTAGATATCTTCTATACACCCCGTTTCTCCCCAATGGGAGAAATCTCCCCTCCTCCAGTCTCACCTCTCCGTTTTAACCTTACAACAGTCACCACCTGGTGAAATAGAAGAACCAAATTCGAGTCCAGTGGCACCTTTAAGACCAACAAAGTTTTATTCAATCTATCTGTGAAAGAGAGAGAGCTAGGTCACCTGGCCAACTTCCATGGCAGAGTGGAGAGTTGAACCTGGGTCTTCCAGATCCTAGACCAATGCTATCAGCCGTACAGCATACTGGTCAGCACATCATACACACTCCACAATGTAGACGCTGCCGGCCACATCAGAGGCCAGGCTAAAACTGTCTGAACAGGGAGTGGTTTTCTCTTCCCCTTGGAACTATAACAATTCAGGGCAGGGCACAGTGATCAACCCTGCTTGCAGGGTAGGGCGAGATATATATCCTAATCAATCAATCAATAAATAAAAATAAAGAATGATGTCCCATGCATTTTAAGTGACTAGTTCCTTGAAAGGAAAGAGCATTTCACCTTATTCAACCACTTGGAATGACAGGGGTTTCTTTCTCTCCTTAGACAGGCCCAGAGAAGAAAAATGAAGTTTTGGAACTGGCAATGTTCAGCTCTGAAAAGCAGAAGTAAATTTGGTCCAAACTGAGCATCTGCTTTGACTCTACTGATTTATTTGCTACAGGAACATTTGAAAAGAAAGAAAATTTAATAAAAGGCACTAATAATTCTCCAGTGGCATATACACCCAGCATCCACAGTCAAGCACGCAACCTGTGCAGTAGAAGATGGAGAGACTCACGCACGGCAGAGTCCAGCGACCACAATCCACACTATGCACATGGCCCAGATCCAGCCTCCCCCCTTTTGCTGTGGGCTGCAGACTCTGCCTTTCCCAAGAACAGAAGTGTCCGGTGCATTTGCAGCTTTCCCCGCCCTCCTATTCCTACATCCTGAGTAGATCTGCGGAACAGAACAAGCCCCTGAGGACCTGTGAGTGGTATCACTGACGGAAACGGCTGCAGCTGGCTCTGCCTGCTTCCTCTGCCGAGCCCAGCCCTAGACTCCGAACCAGTGCACTGCAGCTAAAGCGATGGGCACGTCTACAGAGGAAGAGGAGCCCACCAGCCCCAAAGGTAATGGGAGGCACAGACTGAGGATCCCGATGGCCGTACTGTAGTGGGGTGGGCGGTGGGCGAAGCATCATTCCTGGCTCTGTGGCTGTCTCTGTCCTTGGTCTATTGCGGAGAGAGTTAACCCCTTGCCCTTCTGACACCTTCCTAGTTGGTGGGGGGGAGAGGAAGGGCATCCATGAAACAAGGAGAGAGTTTTCTAGATAGGCCGCTCCTTGGGGTGGAGGGGAAGACGGGTCACAGGGAGGGAGTCGCAATTAGGACTGCAGTTTCTAGAAATAAGTGAACTGTAACGTAAGACCCGAGCTGCTTCCACACAGCCTCATTGCCCCCCCCAACAGTTGCCATTTCTGACACCACACCACCAGAAGGCTTGGGGGCAAGGCTGCCAATTCCAGCTTGAGAAATTCCTGGAGATTAGAGGGCAGTGCCTCGGAAGGCAGGGTTTGGGGAAGGGAGGCCAGCTCAGCAGGGATTTGATGCCACAGAGTCCACCCTCCAAAGCTGCATTTTCCTTCAGATGAACTGATCTCTGTAGTTTGGAGACCAGTTGTCATTCCAGGAGAACTGCAGGCCCCGTCAGGAGGTGACAACCCTACTTGGGGGGTTGAGGAAAGCACAGCAAAACATGGGAAAGACACTATCTAGGAAAATCAGGGCCGGATTGTGTGTGTGTGGGCGCAGGGGCTTCCGTGGTCGTGAAATTGTCCATCCAGCGTGAGTGCCAGTTCAAGGACAGAGAGCCAGCAGGCTTCAATGACACTGATGAAAAATCTCCTTTTAAATAATGTTCATATAACTCCGTTGGTTGTTTATTCCCAGCCCTTCCGGGTGGGGAGCAAGAACAGAGAGAGATTTCTGCTGAGCAATAGATGGTCTGTGTCCTCATGGAACAGAACTCAGGCCGATTTCCTGGGAGCCAAACAGGAACTGCTTAAAAAACTGCTTATTGTGATTTTAAATATTGTATTCTACTATCTGTTTTATTGTATTTTACACTTGGCTTTGCCGCATGTGAGCCGCCCTGAGCCTTTGGGAGGGCGGGATATAAATCAAACTAATAAAATAATATTAAATAAATAAAAAATGAGGCCTGATCCGTATATGCTGAAGTGACTGTAATGAGACAAGAGAATGGACTGCACATTCAGAGGGAAGGTAGAAGGTCACATTTTACATTTTGGGATGCTCCCCTATGTTTACATTTTGGGATGCTCCCCTATGTTACATTTTGGGATGCTCCCAGCTCTGGGTGGGGAAATCCCTGGAAATTTTTTGGGGGGGGTGGAGATGGGGAGGGTGGGGTTTGGGGAGGGACCTCAGCAGAGTACGATGCTATCATAGAGTCCAGCCTCCATTTTCTCCAGGGGACCTGATCTTGGCCATCTGGAGATCGATTGTAATAGCGGGAGGCTTCCAGGCCCCACCTGGAGGTTGGCAGCCCTACTTGATGTTTGTTCAT